AGCATAACTAGCGCCCTCTATGAAATATCCAAAAAATAATTAGACCAGTGTATTGGCATCCTTGAAAACCTCGGAATACCAAATTTCATAGAAATTTTTCGCACCGTTTGGAAATTTTCGTAAAAATTCTATTTACAAAAATTTTTTTGGCGCTCTGTATTTTGAAAACAAGAAGAGATAGACATATAGTTCATAAGACAAAAAATTATTATATTTTATCGTTCTATCATCCCCTGTATTTACGGGAGGTCTCTATGAAATACGCTCTATATATTGTTCATTTGTTACAAATCTTGCTAAAAACTAGCTTTCAATTTATTGTTTATATACGAGTATTAAGCAGCATAATTTGATATTTGAGATTCAAATAATGATTAGTATTGATATTAATAAATTTTATGAAAATAATTAACAAAACGGGTCAGCGTAAATTCAGACTTTTATTCGTATTTTATAATAAAATTCATAAAGATTAAGAGACATTTTAAAAAGTAAAAGTATGTCCCCAAAAAGTAACAATACATCATAAAAAGAAGATGAAACATGTAATCCTACAGAGCGTATGGTCGATGTTGTATTCATTTACATTTTTCGGGAATAAAAACCATTGCAAATATGTAAAAAGTCTATGTAAATTTCCAGAATTTTTATTAGTATAAACTTGACACCAGTTCTCATATCATTTTAAATTATGTGTTTGTAACATTTAAATGATACTAAAAATTTTATAACGAAGTACGTTTAGTGACATTTAAAAATTATGTCTACTTTCTTCAGATTAGGCAAAATTCTCATAAAAAAATCTTATATTTTAACATTATTTCTCACTATATACAAATATTGCAAAAAAATACGTGTGGAATGTAGGCGGAATCAAGCGTAACGCTGCTTTATTCAACTTTTAACTTTTAGCATTTCTAGGAGCTTATTGCAATGAATAAATAAATTGTTGTACACATTTCAATGGACGTAAATACATATTGTGTGTGGTTGTCTGTGCTGCGTACGTGTTGAGTAACAAATGAATTACGACGGTAAATGCATCCTGGGCTCGCCCCTTACAGGGTGATACATTTAAGACGAACAATATATTTGAGTAAAGATAATTAAGTAGATATTATTACATTAATTGTTTATAGTTTTTATGTACTTTCACATACTCCAAATAAATTTAATCTGACGGGACAAAATGTCCAAATAATGAAAAACTACTTCAGATATACTACAAATAAATATATTAAATTTTTATTTCCTTAGAATAATAATAAAAACCTAAACTAGAACAATAATCTGCTATTAATCTTATTTCTAATGATTTTTGCAAAAAGGTAAGAGACAGAAGAAAACAAGTACCTAATAGTCGATTTATGAAAGTACTTAAAAGAAAACTAAGTCTATCATTTTATAATTCAACTTTTAATTTTTCAAATATTAAATATTATTATCATGAGAAAGATATTCAACTTTTACGTAGATCTCCCGGTATGTATATGATGAATTGTAAGGTTATATCCATTCAGAAATGAGTAGGTTTCGTCTTAGAAGAGGTGAATAAAAATAACATTCTCTCTTAGCTGCGGGCAGTTAGAAATATCGCTTGTATTTATCTTTAGTGATGTCTAAGTTTGTACTTACTTCTTACTTTTCATTTAATGTCATTGTGCAAAAATGCATGTAATTATTAGTAATGTTGCCATTTAATATGTTATTTATTAATTAGGTATAGTTACAAAATTTTACTGAGTTTACTTATGCAATAATAAATATTTGAGTTGTGTAACATAGCAATCGAGAATATTTAAAAGTTAATATTGGATCTATGATATAGCAATTTCTATTAATTTTTTTGTGCCAAATGTTAGATTGAAGGCAATTCTGTCTATTCTATAAATGTTTACCAGCTGGTTTTGTTGAATTTTTGTGGATTATTGAGACAAAATTTGTATATGTGAAAGTTTGTTTTTCTCTCAATATTCAGTGCCTTCATTTGCTTCCAATGAATACACTTTGTATAATATTGTTTAAGTGAAAGGGAGAGTGTGCTATGAAAGTAAATTACAATGTACAGTTATTCTAGTTTAATGTTAAAATAACAATAATAGTTTGTTCTTTCTTATAGGAACTTAACTTGTAACAAATATACTAACAAATGTATTGTAAAGCAATGAATGTATACTACACATTGTTAAAATTTTAAAACTTTGTCATTTTGCTGCGAATATGATATTTACATTATTAAGTAGGTATATGTACAGCAGTACAAAAAGACACATTTTCAACTACTTGCAATGCCAATTTTGTTGTGTAAATTATTTTATAAAGATTCCAATCATTTCTGCGGATATTAAAATTCATGTCTGCACTTCCTGCTTTTTATCTTTCTGTCTCCAGCAGCTGATCGATGAAGTATGACTAATTAAGAGTTTAAGGTGAGATTGTGAAAGATACCTTTCCTTGGTAAAATTATCAATGTAAATCAATTATACTGTGGAAGATTAAAAAGTAGTGTATCTTTCTGACCAGTTATGGTTGTCTTGATATTAGCAAAGCGAAAATATCGGTATCTAGATGTAGGTATTAACAAAACAATGTTCTGTATTGGGTCATCGTCTCCTAACAATTGCTTTTACCTACAATTGCTAGTTTTTTATTTAAAAAGTGGGTATCTTGCCCAAATATAGGTGCCTTGTTAATATTGGCACTTCTCAATGTACACGAGGTAGATCAGCAAGTTTCCATAAAATTGTTTTTAAAAAAATGTTCTATTTTCTTAGACACTTATTCTGACAAAAATTACGCTATTCGCTGCTAGAGTTTAATAAATATTCGATCGTCATGATAGACATAGTTTCTCTACAAATTTAAGCTCGTATCCTTCAGTATACAGGGTGTTGACAAAAAATGAGTTAACAAATTCAGCCACATGCAATGCTCATTAATTTAAGGAAAAAAGTTCCCATAAACGTCCGAAAACGCATCGTTTCGATATACAGTGTGTTAAAGTTTTTGAATAATATCATATCAACACAAATATCTCTGAAGGTGTCTGACTTAGAATGAAAAATTCACGGAATTTGCCTACAATTGTACACCTTACTGAGTATTTTGAAAATCCGAAGAAAAAATAACTACGTTTTATTCAAAAATGTAATTTTGCAATTATTTTTTTAGCCTAAATAAATGTAACAATCGAATATATTGAAATAAAACTAAGTGTTCGTTTCATAAAAAAATGGTAGGAATTTTTTATTTCAAAAGCATTTTTAAAATCAATGTGATCAAGTTTGGAGCATTCAGTGGGCTAGAAATGAGTTTCGTTATTTCCAAGATTCAAAATTTCTCAAATTTTTCATGATCGTATTGTTTTTAAAACCTCATTTGAAATAAAAAATTCTATATACATTTTTTTAAGTATTTGTAATTTTTTTTATTTAGCTGTGCAGTAAGTCTATTTCGGCTAAAAAAACATCTCGAAATGATTCGTTTTTCGAATAAAATAGGCGAAGTGCTTGTTCTTTTAAACACAATTGAGGATCAAATGGACTGAATGAATTTGCAGGATACTCAGTGGCGTCGAAATTTTGTAGGTAGGTCTTCCAGTCAGTACCTCCGCTGCTGGTTAATGACATTTTATTCAAATTCAGATAATTTTTACCTTTGCTTAGTTAATGAAATATTTTCACCGATGCTTTAGTAACTTTTTTGTAATTATGATGAGTAGAGTTGTTTCAAAATCTTATGAGCTTTGACCTTGATATGCGCAGAAACATAATTCCGACCGTCGCCTAAATTATTCTACGTCATAAAAACATTACATCCATTATTCACAGTCATCTCGAGCTCTCGTAGCGTAAACAAGTCAAGCCGATTACAAATATCATAATAAAATGCTCTATTCTTTATTATTTTAATTTAAGCAATAAAAATATATATAACGAACGTTCGCCAGTTGACTTTATTGATGCCCGAGTGCCTTAGTTCTGAGTCAATGTTTTTACAACGTAATTATGTGGATATGCTACGCCTTTCGCGCATTTCGCGGCTCATGAGATTTTGAAACTACTCTACAATATGGATATATTTTATTACCCTTATTTTCAACATACTAATTAAATTAGCCTTTATTTATTAGGTACAGAATACTGTAAAAATGATTTTTAAAATTGAGCTGATGACTCCTTTTATTTTCCTCATGAAGTTTTAAAAATAAAACTAAACCTCCACTTAATTTTAATTTCTATCTTGAATTTTACAGCACTTTTACTGTCTTCTTATGCCTTCCCTTTTTCCGGTTTTTCCTGTGGTTTACTACAAGTCGTTCAAAGTTATTACAGTGTTTCTTTATCAAACAAACAAACCTGACATCAAAACCGGCCTCCAACCTGTACGAACACTCTATCCCGTCTCGATTCTGACCTTTCATACGACCTCCTCATCACGCTGTTATGAAATTCCTGCTGTCATAAAAGGCCACCCTTCCGCCTCAAGATGTTTGTTTATTTGCCGCGTGCACCTACTGCGTTCCCATTATCTAACCAGTTGTCTAGATCACAGAATATCCTAACTACACAGAAGCGACATAAACGGCGGCTCCTTTGATGTTAGCGTGGTGAAAATATACGACCTTGAACGGTGGTGAACAACATGTTACACTGAGAGAAAGGTTATCAGAGATATACTGAAAAAACAGGTTATAAAATTTACTTTGAGATATTAAGCCTTTAAATTTTTATATGAACGTATAATATAATCCATAATTCCAGTCCAATTTTCAGTAGCTTGTGGCATAAAACAATCAGTTGGACATAAATTATATTACATTGGTTGTCGATGTAAGGCATGATTTTATGCTTAATTAAAAAAAAGCTAATTTGATTTACACATGATAGGTACGCATCTGTTACTACTATAATTAAAAATTTCGTGTAGATGGAATATAGTTATAAATAAATCCAAATACCACAAAAAAAATATTTATTTTTTAATATTAAATTCACAATATTATTTATTATTCCATAGGCCCATAGAGAAATACTAGATTCTTTACTTCAAAATATTACGATTGGAGCCAACATTTCTTAATAAAATGTTGATAATAAAAAAGATACAGGGTGTTGAAGTTAAAAATTAAATTTTGGTAATAATTATGTTATTGGATATAAGAATGTAAACATTTTAGGGTAAATGTTTTTGGTACGAGAGATCATCTGTTATTTATTTCGATGTATTTTCTAGAGGGCACCACATAAGCCAAGTATGTGACGTAAATGTGAGCGTAACTCTTTTTATGAGTAACGGAAAGCTTTTAAGTAACGAGCTTTTATTATTAAAAAATCTTAAAAGTAAAGAATTCAGTATTTCTCTACGGGCCATTACTTACAGACCACACTGTATTTGTAACATTTTATACAAAGATAAATAAAGTTTTCCGAAGTCCACCTTTGAACAAATATTTTTGTTCAAAATGTAGCTCGCAAAGTCGATAATTATGTGTCTGTGGATTTTTCTCGAGAAGATCCTTTCTATTGCATGCTCTCAACCATGCTGAAGCTCTAAAAGAAAATTGATTAGTTTATTTCATTCAATACTATTTAGGTAGGTATATAATGTACATAAATTTAGATTTTTATTAATTATCAAAACATATACCTACTTAATAATTCAATATATTTCAAATTTTGTAATACATAGCTAATTATTACACTACCTGCTGGAGTCTTCGGGAATGGAAAGAAGCTTAGTCCTCTACCTGTTTTGGATGGGCACCCTCGACAAATAAAATAATAACCCCCTCGACGATACATCACAAATATTATGTCTGTTTAAATAGTCACTAATACTAATCCACTCACACTAAGTCTAGAATAAATAAATATTAATAATAAATACACAAAAGTGAGGTTGGATTGAATTATCGATTACCTAAAAATAAATAAATAAGCTTGGTTACTTGACGGAAAAACAACATGTTTCCATGGCGATTTTAGCACATGCGCACTGGAAATCGACTTACGCGGGAAACCACTTTGTCGCTTCTGTGTAGTTAGGATATTCTGTGTCTAGATATTAATGCGTCATTTATGCATTCCAGTTTTAATTTACTTACAGAATTACTTAGCCAAGCCGCTTCTGGTTAGACATACTCGATTGTATATACAGGGTGTACCTTAATTCGACTTAAGGTGTGGCAAATGAAAGTTACATGCAGAGATCGGGTGTATCTCACGGATCTATTTTGGGTCCACTTTTATTCATAATGTTTATTAACGATACAACGTCGAATTTCAACAGAGTACACGGTTTGCTGTTGAAAGCATTGAACGAAATAGATCTCTGGTGATTTCAAAACAAATTATCTTTAAATTCCGAGAAGTACAATGTCACGACATTCACGAGAAAGTAAATTACGTTAAATCTGACTACTATATTCAAAATTTCTTGTTGCAGAAGCCAGAATATTTAGGAGACCTTGGTTTTGTGCACAATGTTAAATTAACGTTCAAAAAATATATCGTACTACCTGTAGTTATAATATTAGGTTATAAAACTTTAGAAACTGTTATTCGTTTTTAACGTAATGTGTATTCTGAAATTATTCTATCAGTCTTTCGTCTTGTCAAATTTGAAATACGCAGCATTGCCTGGAAACTAATTTATAAAGGTGCGTATCGAGTTTAAAAAAAAAAGTTTAAACGGACTGAATATACCCTGAAAGAAGATTTCCACAGGATAAGCTGCTTGCACTTTTCACTATCTTTGCTTTGGAAAACAATTGGGCTACTCAGCAGGTTATTCTTTTGTAAAAACAAACAATCCTTTGACTGTACATGACTTCTACCATAAATAAAATATTTCGATCAAAGTAGCCAAGATTATCTGCTCGAGTACAAAATATCTTTAATATCTTTACCTTGTTTTAATAAAAAAACTCTGGAATTTCATACTTTTCAGTCAAAAGTCAAAAAAGTCAAAGCATAAAAAAGTTATGGTAAATTTTACCCCCCTCCCCCCAGTGTTGAAACGTTATGTGATGAAAATTTGTAAATTTCGTGTTAGTAACGGACTAAGTAGCTAATTACCAAATTTCATAAATTTATCTCAACTTGTTTCGGAATTATTTAGAAAAAAACGTAATAGAGTGGCCCCTCTAAGTGGCTATAACTTCCTTAGGAATAATTTTTGGACCCATGTTTATATAAAGAAAAAGTAATCTTTTTCGACATAGAACACCCTGTATAAATATTGACCCCTAATTTCGGGACACCCTGTATATCACAAATATTTATGACGTATGTATCTTTGAAATCACATTAACATTCCAGCAATTTCGGCATTTTTTAAAAGTAGTCTTAATTTTCTATGTTGATTTTAACGACTTGTCACTTTGAGCGTCTAATTGTAAGATCTCCATGTTGGTATTCGTTGAAATTATCAGTTTTAAATTATGACAATTTCTATTAGAAATCTAACAATTAGCAATGCATAAAATTAACAGACAATTAATCATGTATTAAACGCAAATGCTGCAATTTCTACGATATCAAGGTTATACATGCATAAGTAATGATTAGTATTGTCTATTTCAACAGGTGAAGAAAGCAATATAAGAGTCTTTCAGATGTAATTACTCTAATTAATAACTAAGATTTGTATTATGTTGCTGCATACGCGGGAAAACTTTGTAGAAAATTGAAGAATTTGTCGTAATTTAGAAACTGAATGCGAAATGTGCTTGAACGAATGGAATCAAATTTCTAACAGATATTGCGAGAATACTTTCAGTGGTACGTTGAATACCTGTAGTAACAGTAATAAAAAAAGAATTAACCGGTAAGTAATGCAGTTTACCATTGAACATAATACAGGAAATGTCAAAACAATGGTTTGCAACTTGAATTAGTATATCTACTCCAAACCGCAAGTGTTGCAAAACAGTGCTTTACCATTTACTTTAATGACATACTAGTTAAAACAACGATTTATTTAACAATAAATTTTACTGACCTTCAATTGCTACGTGCCATATTATTTGCAATAATTAAGTAGAAAAAATGGAACTTGCTTTATCAATTACGAAAATTGTAAAATAATATATTTAATATTAAATTAAATAAACCAAATTAAAAATTGTCATAAAAAGTTCTATGGTTCGAGAATCTTGTACTAACAGTCTAAACTCTTCTTATTACCCCGTATATTGTCGTGTGCAGAAATTTCCGACATTTATCAGAACTTCAGTTACACTACAAACCGTTACTAGACGTTTATGTGATTTTGATGACGATATATGGTTCGAAAGAGGGATAAAATCTTGTAACAGTTTTAATTACATGTCTGCGCTGATACCGAGACACATGTAAGCACAACTTTGATGGAATAATTGAACTCTGTTAAGAGTGTCGTGTTCTCGTCGGATGAAGTTTTTGTCTTTTCCGTGTGATACATGAACGACGAGAAACAGGATACTGTTGGGCCACGGTTGCAGAAGCAAGAAGTCTGCTGACGTGAATGGTATTGGGTTACGTTCAACTTATGTCGAGCAGAAGCTATAGGTCGGGATCCGGGCCGGAAATCGAAACAAGAGTGAAAATCTATACTTCCTTTTTCGAGTCATTTTACCCTAAATAGTGTCGAATAAAATTTCTAGCAAAATAGTAATTTAATCTTGAAAAAGATGACCAATTCCATAGACCTGACTTTTGCTCACAGTATACCAAAAATATATTTTCACCATACACTTTCCAAAAACACCTTTATGATCATACTTCTCCAAAAATTGTTTGTATGGTACTATTAGGTTGACTTTCTAGGTAATAAGTGGATAGCAGCCCCATTAATTGTTTAATTATTTTCCATTTTTTTTCTTGAGGCTTATCCACCTAAGAGGGATTTTTCTGTAACTCTGTATAATTTATAAAAAAATGGTTTTAATAAAAGTTGTCTGGAATTATGTGGGCCATGTAATGAAAATATTTTTATCTTAACAGAGTGTTGCATTTCGAGTGGACGCTACATAACTTTGTTTTTTTTAAATAGAACACCCTGTATATTATTGCGTTTTTGAATTCCTTGGTTAATATTAGGTAGAGTCTATTAAATGTACATGGTACTTAAAACTCTGGAACTATTCGTTTCTCAAAAAAATTCCTTTTTTTTATAAATATACGACCTCACCCCTTGCTACTTCTAGCAAAATTTTCTCGACATTGATTTTTGGTACTTATGATTTGTTGTATTTAAAATTGTATTTCTAACAAAAAAGTTCTAAGAGCATAGAATTTTTGAGAAATGACTATTTTATATTTTGCAAAATGTTTGATAATGTTATAAAATGGTTCGCTTTTTGAATAAAACGAATGATATTTTATTTTTGAAACACTACAAGAAGTTATATAGGGTCCTCATAATAACCAGTTGCGTCGAATTTTTTAAATTAACCAATCGCCGTCTTTAGTTTCAGATAATGATTATCGTAGCTAAAATAAGACTACATATACTCAGCAAATAAATTAAAGGAGCAGAAAAATGTCTAAATTTTAATTTCCAAATTTTTTTAGTGATTTTTGAAAGGCTGTAACTTTGTGAATAATTGTCGTATCTAGAAAAAGAAGGAACATCTTGAAGATCGAAGATTCTAGTTTTGAAATATGGAGATGAAAAAATTTTTTGAGCATCACTCCCGGTGTTGTCAAAAGAAATAATCCAATGCAAAAATTTTACATTTTTTTTTTTCAAATCAATACATGAGCTCAGAAATTTTTTTCTGGCTTAATTAAGGCCAGGGTCATTTATTTTTTAATTTTCTGTACGAGTATTTCTCATTGAAATAGCGGCTATTGAGTAAAAAGTCTTTCTTCATCTTTTTTTTTACCATCATGAATCACATGAACTAATGATCGTACAGCAAACGGAAGGTGGGTTTTAAAAACCTGAATCGATCCTCTTCAAGGGCCTTTTGCTATGTTTGAGAATTTTTTTTTATACACAGCAATAATTTGAAAAAGTACCAAAAAATTATAGGAGCAGGTTTATTGCTGTTTAAATATTAATTAATGATTAAGATGTAACAAATTTTTTGCGTTATTTTTCTCACAATTTCTCATTAAATACTCACCAAATATCGAAAAAAAAAATTCAAAATTTAAAAAAGTTTTTCTCATAATGTTTTTTTAATTTCTAATTTTGTTTTTCTCAACATTTGAAATATTCAACGTAAAATTGTAAAAAAGTTAACTTATTTTTTTGCTGAATGTATTTCATTGACTATGTCTAAAAAATAGCAAAATATATAAAATATTGTTATTTAGACTTAGAAGTTTGTTTTTTCAGAATGTTTCAGGAAATAGCAACAACAATAAGGAGGTAACGAAGCTGACCCAGATATTTTCTTGTTTCGGGGGTAAATCGGATGTGGTGGAGGATGTATGGGAAAAATATTTAAGCAAAATAAAATTTCCTTCGGTAAGGCCGTTTAAAATCACATAACGACACATGTAGCTAGAGTAGAAAGTTGGATACGTAGTTTATTTAGAGACACAATGGTAGAATAGATGTAGTTGTTGGAACTAAGTAATGTAAAATCTAACATTCAGAAACTTAAGGAATATTGTGAATAGTGAAGTCTTTGCAGGACAATAATTTTGTCTAAAACACCTACATTTCACTAGAATAATTGACCTAGTCCACTGTGTTGCTTAAAATATAAAGGACTATCTCTTAACTTTTTGCACTTTCCTTTAGAAAGGTTACTTGCCCCTAAATTAGATTAGAAATTTGGTGATTTAGCAATTATTAACCTTTCTCAAATGACAGGATAATATTTCTCTATTTACGATATAAAAGTATTTTAAAATTCCGTCTCTTATAACAGGAATAAGGAAATAACAAAAGTTCACATATTTTTAATGAAATCATACTTTTATCTTAATCATTACTTCCTAGTTCCGATATTTAATTTACACAATAACTTACAGAAATATTTCTCCATTATCAACACGTAAATAGTTATCTATTTTCTCTAACTGACTTGCAAGTTCACATTT